ACTGCAAGGTCGGTTTGAACCTCAAGATTGGCAGTTCAAGTTCACCAGCCACTCCTCAGAAATCCAATTCAGGGTCATTATGAGTCAGAACTGACTCAATGACACTTAACAACAAGAAGAGTAATTTATATTAATTTTGGGTTTTTTATTTAGATTAGAGTGCATTTTAATAAAAAATATTTTGCTAAGTTTTTATTGCATTGAAATTTGCATTTCTATAGATTATAAGCATCAAGTGAAATAGTTGTTGTCTTTTTTGTTAGGTAACTCATTCTCAGTAACTTACTAATGTATAATTCTAGTTCTTTTATTCTTTCTCTCCCTCTCCTTTCCCCTCTATTACTTTCTCTCTCTTCCCCTCTCTTTTTGGACCTTTTCTCTCAGATTTCACATATCCTGACCTATCATATTCCTGTCTTCCCACTTAGTTCATGTCCTCTATTGAGGGAATTACTTTTAGAGGGAGCAACACAAACAGCAAAAAATATCCCCTAGCAAGTTCCCACTCAGTAGATGTATAGCTAGGACTCAGAAAGGCTCATGGTTCAGTACTTCCCATACTTTACAAGTTTAGGACAACCTGAAATTAGCAAAAGTTTTTAGTGACTACTCAGTTAGGGGTCTTTTGATAAAGGGTGTTATTGTTGCTACAGTCAGTGTCTTTCTCTACTCCAGGAATCTTGGGCAACTCTGCTGAAGTGTATTTGCCCTTCTGGCAAGTTTTTGTATTCAAATGACTGACTTTCACACATGAACATACTTTCTGCATCTGTTGTGTTCATCATTATGCCTTGCACTTTGCACAGCACCTGCTCTAGTAGATGCCACATGCCACATGAATGTATTTGAGTAATGATATGGATTCATTCTCATGCCTGGTGACCACTCATTCAGCAACTGGATTTTGTTTTCTTCTGGACTCATGTACTCACACAAAATCATTCCTTGAACTATTATGACTGAATTGATTGTAGTACGTGTAGCTATTAGTACTAAAGTTTCACAGTTGTTAGAAGAAAGTCCGCAAGTGTAGTGGAAATGCCATAGGTTTAGAGTGAGACAAATATAGCATTATCTAAGCCCAGTTGATATAGCATTATCTAAGCCCAGTTCTTCTCCCTTATTAGTCCACTTAATTAACCTCTTTGGGCCTCAGTGTACTCACATAGTGCTCAGAGATTATTTACATAAAATGCCTACCTGCAAATAAACATTCTGTAAAAGGTAACTGTTATTAATTATATTTTATTATTACATAAATATTATAAGTATAGTTATTACCTGATCCAAACTGTAAGCATTAGAAAGGGGGCAATACCTACATGAAATCTGAACATTTCTAGCTTTTCTCAGCCAAGTCTGGAAGAAAATGAAATCCTAGTATCTTAGAGCCTCTATTGTATGTAATGACTTAATTTCAAATTATTTTCTATGTTTTGTGATTCAGATGAGGAACTGCAGAAGGAAAATATACAATAACAAATAGAATACAATATAGAAAATACAAAAGAAATATAAAATTCAAAGAATTTCATGTAGAGGTTGAGTACCCCAAGAGACTTGCACCCAAATGAATATTAGATAGAACATTAATTCATTGCTATGTTCCCAAGATCAGCATCAGCTTATCACAGAGTTGGTGCTAATAAGTATTTATCAAATTATTAGAATAATTGAATGAGTGATCAGTGATGAGTGAATGAAGATTAAATATTTGTGAAAACTGTTCATGTAAGCAATTACTGGAAACTCAGTAATTGTTCATATAAGACCATTTTTGGAAACTCAGTCTATATTGTATCTTTATGTGTATATCTCATGTATGTATAGGTATGTCACTTGTTCATATATGTCCATTTAGAATATTCTATTCAGATATTAGACTGTTTTAGTAACAATCCCTGTTCCTGAAATCATATTTTAAATAATGATATAACACAAAATAATAATTATTAATGTCAGCAATAGCTCATAGTTCTTGGCATTGTGTTTTTATGGATTAATTTTCATAACAGCTTATGAGGAAGGTTGGAGTCCTGGTGTGGCACTTTAGGATAAGCACTGGACCATAAGGTCAGTTTGAACCACAGGTTGGCAGTTCAGACTTGCCAACCATTCCTCAGAAAGTCTGTACAGGGTCACTGTGAGTCGGAACCAACTTAATGGCACTTAACAACAGCAACAGTGAGGGAGATCATAGATAAAATAATATGCATTCATTTCTTCCACTAATCTCTAAAATACTATGAATTAGTGGAAGAAA